ACTCAAATATTGAGCTCGATGTCGAATAGACATAGGTTTGTGATGGCTGCAAAATGCCGAATTTCATTTGTTGGAACACTTGTGAACTGTCGGATTTTTATTCGAAATCAATATTCTAACTCGAATATTCGATATGCATTCCTAACTGCGCTTCACCTCACAGCCTCTACCAGTGGGTAGTTATCCGCTGCTTCAGGGTGGTCTATGATGGAACAAGGGCAAGTTAAGGAGTCAATGATGTTTTTCCATTTAAAACAGTACCTACGAAGAAGTTTTGATGTTGGCTCTAAAACGGGTAACCTAGAGATCAGAGAGGTTTGCCACATTTGCTATTCCAAAGGGCGTTTTAAGAAAATAACTTTCCATAATTTCAGTTTGAGCGACATTTCGAATTGCCAAACTACGATCAAATGGTTATGAAGGTTAGAGCTGAAACGAATCGTGATACTGAGGATTATATCGCTACGTATAAGCGAGTTTTAGGATGAATCGTGTTCATTCTAAAAAGAATTATGTATTTAATAAATCTTTTAAAAAGTTTCAAGGCGTTGTTCTCTGTCACGGCAAAAGGGAAACCAGACATTGATGCATAAGCAAGCAAGTCGCTACGACTTTTTGCCAAGCACTTTTTCATGGGCATAAATCCAAGGAAATCCTATCTACTTAACCACCTTTCCTTTTCTCTTTCCTCTTGATCATTAGCCACAACGCTAATAATCATAAAATTTTGATCTCACAATATAAAAGAAGTATCATCCGCTACCTTCCTGTATGTAAACTTTTATGAGCGATTTAGAGGCAAACGTTTATTGTATGTAAGTTTTCGCAAGTAATCCCTAAAGTAAGTTGAGAAGCCGTAATTAAATAATGAAGTTGTTTGCCGATAACTAAATCTTGGTTTTCGACCGTTGGCCATCCACATTTCTAACTTACTCAATTTTTTATGCACTTTTCAGCGGAAAGAGATGGCCCACATTATAGCATCATATGTGCTCAAAACCAAAACTTACCATAATTAAAGTCAGATTGTACATTGACACAATACGAAAACTTGTGTTAATGCTTCTGTGCAATCATGAACAACATCTAATCCAGCGGAAAAGAAATCAAAGTTGTTTCCCAAAAATTTGGTTTGCGGAGTTTCAAATTATTACTAATCCCGGAAGATAAGCTGCAAGCTGATAACTCTCTCATGAAATGCTCGCTGCGTT